TCCCATGACTGACGCTATCTTACGATGGTGTCAAGTAGAGGTCGTCAACCGTACAACTGGCAAATATCCAGCGTGGTGCATATACAACAGCAACATCATATAGACACGTGTTTACATATACTATAGAGTGACATGTATAAGGACATCACATATACTAGAGAGTGCCATATATAAGGACATCACACATACTAGAGAATGATATGTGTAAGGATATGACATATACTGGAGAATGATATATGTGTAAGGACATCACATATACTGGAGAATGATATGTGTAAGGTCATCACATTTACTGGAGAATGATATGTGTAAGGACATCACATATACTACAGCATTATCACATTTTATGTAGTCTTGATACTAGGTTAGAAGCCAGCCCTAAATTGTTAGTAGGCAATGCCCAGGGCAGTAAAGGCGGCCGGCGTGATGTTAACCATATCACCTCCGAGTGCCGACCCATCTATACAAATATCGTCTGGAGGATGCCAAACTGGTACAACAATAAAAAAAAAAGCGACCCTTTTCCACGCCTTTAGGCGTATAGGGCATATAGGGCTAGACCTATATTTTTATAGACCAATCGGCACAAGATGGGGGATGTGATCAACATCACGCCGGCCACCTCTACTTCCCGGGACTGCACCCGGTGCCCACTCAAGGCTGGGTCGACCTGGGGAGCCAAGGTCATGTTTGAAAAAAGTCCGGATCCTCCAGGGAGCGAACCCACGACATTCAGATCCGCGGCAAGCCGCTCCGCCACGGGGACAAAAAGGATCCTTTCTATTGTGTTTACTTTGTACTAGGCTGTGTCACGGTAAGCGCATCTGCCATACGGGAGCGGGCTATGGTCTTCGTCTCCTCTTTATTGTTTCACTTCCTCCGGTTACTTCGTCAAAGTCATGATTATATTTCTAGTGTTTGATATGGGCGTTTTATAAAAACACAGGCACCCGTTCTTCTTCGTTATTTCTTTACTTTTCCTGGTTACGTCATCGAAATCAAGACTGTACTTTTAGTTTGTGTTGTTGTTGTTGTTGTTGAACGTTTCAGCGGTGCTTGTCATTAAAATACCAGCACAAGCACAATCAGGGTCCTGATACAGAGAGAAGGGAGGGGCGACATAACAATACAGTTTGAAATTTTTATCTATAAGCACGAAGCTAAAAGGGAAGGCATTTCGAAGATTGGAATCATACCGATAAAATCTACCGCACGAGATTGAGTACAGGTCCATCAAAGTGCATGTGAAAGCCATAACACAATAATTGAGTATCTCCTAGTGGCAGTATCAAAATATCTGAACTTGATCTTTCACTCTTCTGTTTGCTGCTGTTTATTTCTTTCAATAGTCTTCCTATGCAGACGCGTTTCCACACATCAGGTCATTGACCTCCTTTGTTTTCCAGTTTACTTTGGTATCTTCTACAGTTCTGTTAACGAATGTGAGAGACATACCTTTTATTTCTTGCATTTCCCCACATGAAGCCTTTCCAACCTGTAAGCTCTTGTTGACTTTCTGTCCTACCTCAGCTTTATTTTCATCATGCAACTGACTTTCATCATTCCCCAGATTAACATTCACCCTCGTTCACAGACTTTTCTGAAGTTTCGCTTTCTTTACTGACCGCGAAACAGAATTAAAAAAAAAAAGAAGACATTTTCAAAAGAATTAATAGGGAAGAATATTTAAAGGGATATAACTACACTTAAAATTTACTTTTACTGTTTGTCACTGTGAATAAAGAAATGCACAATAACATGGGCCGCCAATATGACTGTTGAATAAAACATTGTAGTCATAATGGCAAATGGAAATGTAACCCTTGTATTAGTCACTGTTTGAGAGGAGTTAACACTTCCTTTATAATAAACACACGAAATACAGAAAGGGTTTGTGATTTATAGTATATAAGTATGCCGTGTTTAGGATGCTTCATATACTGGGATGTGGCATATACTACCTTGCAATATGTTAGAGACGTCATATATGTTATTGTTTGGTTAACTTATGACGCCATAAAAACTAGAATATGATCATTTCCGAGGTCAGTGAACTTGAATGTAACATAATCTTTTTGTACCCTTCATCTTCCAATGGCGCATGGATCCTCAACCAATCAGCTCATTCTAAGTCGTCTTTATCTTTTGCTGTCACTTGCAGCTCACTCCACTCCCTACCCATCTCAAATGCTTCTCTTTTCCACTCTCTCTCTCTCTCTCTCTCTCTCTCTCTCTCTCTCTCTCTCTCTCTCTCTCTCGTTCTCTGTGAGTGTGTGTTTCTGTGTGGCTCTGCCATAACTGTTTAACATTAACGATGTCAAAAGTAGAGGGCGCCACCAGTTTCATCATTCAGACCATACATGTTATTTCCCCAAGATTGTTACCCTGTCAGGAGCCAGTCGACTGCCATTACTGAATCTGTTTACCATTTTTACGGTGTAGACAACATCACCACCTAGTGCCGACTGATCTATACAAATGTGTGGAGGATGCCAAACTGGTAGAAAATATAAAATAAAGGGACCCTTTTCCGCTCCTAGCGTCTAGACACTCGCCTGCGGATCGGAAGGTGGTGGGTTCGAGTACTCACGGGGGCCGAAATTTTCGTTTCTTCAAAAATGACCTTGGCTCCCACGTTTACCCAGCCTTGAGCGGGTACCAGGCACAGTCCTAAGAAGTAAAGGCGGCCGGCGTGATGCTGACCACATCACCCACCAAGTGCCGAATGGCCTATAAAATATAGGTCTAGCCCTATATGCCCAAAACACCTGAAGGTGTGGAAGAGGGACCTTTACCTCTACAGAGTAGGCAGGGAAAGTCTTTGACTCTGAGGGTTTAAGGCCCCATAGCTAGTGCTGTCGCCAGGTACTGTGCAGGCTTAAATTGTTTGGCTGACAACGGGACATTTCAACCTATGAAATTGGTGCAAATAAAACCAGACAACAGTTATTACCGAAGCTGTCGTAAGCTGGGCTGAACAAGGTCGATTTTTGTCTGCGAGAACGAACGAACGTCGACAATGGGTCCAAATGTTTACCTCACATCTCCCCAGATCCGTGGCTGATCCTCACATATCGTTAGATTCCTGTCTAATCCTAATATATCCATAGATACGTGTCAGATACTCACATATCGCTAGATACGTGTCTGATCCTCACATATCGCTAGATCCGTGTCTGAACCTTACATATCGCTAGATCCGTGGTTGATCCTCACATATCGCTAGATGCATGGTTGATCCTCACATATCGCTAGATGAGTGGTTGATCCTCACATATCGCTAGATGAGTGGTTGATCCTCACATATCGCTAGATGAGTGGTTGATCCTCACATATCGCTAGATGAGTGGTTGATCCTCACATATCGCTAGATGAGTGGTTGATCCTCACATATCGCTAGATGAGTGGTTGATCCTCACATATCGCTAGATGAGTGGTTGATCCTCACAAATCGCTAGATGAGTGGTTGATTCTCACATATCGCTAGATGAGTGGTTGATCCTCACATATCGCTAGATGAGTGGTTGATCCTCACATATCGCTAGATGAGTGGTTGATCCTCACATATCGCTAGATGCGTGGTTGATCCTTACATATCGCTAGATGAGTGGTTGATCCTCACATATCGCTAGATGCGTGGTTGATCCTTACATATCGCTAGATGAGTGGTTGATCCTCACATATCGCTAGATGCGTGGTTGATCCTCACATATCGCTAGATGCGTGGTTGATCCTCACATATCGCTAGATGAGTGGTTGATCCTCACATATCGCTTGATGCGTGGTTGATCCTCACAAATCGCTAGATGAGTGGTTGATCCTCACATATCGCTAGATGCGTGTCTGATCCTCACACATCGTTAGACACGTGTCTAATCCTCTATAAGTCAAGGTGACAGAAAGCACCCTGCTGAAGCCAATGGCCCATATGATGATAGACTCAGATGTTTCAAACAGACCTAGATGTAGTTAACATTCCTCAGTACGCCCTTACATCCCGGGAGTTTAGCTGGTACCTGTTTTAAACTGGGTCAACCTTGGAGCCAAGGTTATCGTTGATCCTCTGTAAGACTAAATAACATATTTAAAACCCCACACGTATACACTGCGGCGACAGCTTTTGCAAGCGGTATCTAAGTCCAGGAAAATATCCAGTCATTTGTCAGCATTCACTAGCTGTAAACTCTGGCGGAAAGTTCTGGTTGTTCATCCACTTCTAGACTGCAGTCCTGTCCAGAACCTGAGTGTTGCGTGTGCATCCGTTTTACAGATCTGACTCATTTGTTTGCAGACTGCTGGTTTCTTGCATCTCAGGCAGATGCACTCCAACTTTCAAGAAAGCACCCAGTTAGTCGACTCAGTAGTTCTATTCTTGTGTTCCCTTTAACAGGCCACGAAACCCGCACCAGGAACAGCGGTTGTAATATTGGATCTCTGACATTAAATGCGTTGTCCATTATTATTATTACTGTTATTATTATTATTATTATTATTAATATCACTATTATTGTAACTTCTGTGTGACTGAAGTCTCCGCTCCCACTACAAACCGATCATTATCGCATTTAAAACCTGAATTTAATCTTCAATGTATTCTTGTTCTGTGACACACTTTTGTTTCAGGGGTTATTTTCTCAAAGTTCTAGCAGTCCACTGTTCACACACATGCACAGGACACAAATGCTGTATCAGGCTAGACTAGTTTGGTTAGCCCATCACTATTTTCTTGGTTGGTTTATGGTTCGTTGTTAGGATATCTTAGGGTTTCTCTAAAATGGTTTCGCTGGCTAGCCAAGCACCGATAGAGAAAACATATACTTTATACATATAAAAAGCAACATATATAATACTGTTAGTACTAACATATATACTTTATCACAACTCTTCAGTGTGTTATTTAGTACGAAACAAAAAGTCAAGGCGAATATGAATGATTATGATTGTCAGTATATGTGACTTAGTGAAATTACTTCAAATCTGGCGCGAACTCACGTCTGTGTTCATTTTTCTGTCGTAGTTTCTTCGGGTACCATTTTCTGAAACCGAAAACCTTTGCCGACAAGACAGTCGTTAGAACTGACTTCACCAGCAGAGGCAGATTTTCGAAACTTGTCGAAGGTCTGCAGTTTGTCTGAGGGATCTTTCTCAAAGACAGAGATGAGTTCGTGGAAACTGTGTGGTCTGGCCCTAGCTCGCGGGGAAACAGCGGGAGATTTCCACACTGGAGGGCGCTCTTTACTTGTGGCTACACCTGGGGATCCGACTACCTGGCGCGGACTCTCTAGTTCTTTAGGAGTGAAATAGCCATCAGAGGCAGTGGAGCCGTTTGAGGAGGCAGGTCGGGGGATTTTGGATACACATTTGGGGGAATAAGCTTTAATGGCATCAGCCACGCTTTGTTTCTCTGGGTCAGATGTGTGCCGCTTCCAGGGACTCTGTGGTGGTTTACTGACAGGAGAGGAAGGCTGTGGCGAAGACGCTCCAGAATTTAACAGTTTTGCTTCCGGGTCAACCAGCTTTCTCTCCAGGGAGGGCGCATTTGTAGGCTTCATATCAAAATTGTGAATTGGTTTCCCTTTTGTTGATGATCGTACCGGGCTTTTTAAATTGGCGTCAGACGTGACCTTGCCGTCTGTGAGGTCGATGGGCTGAGTTTTAACCGGCAGGTGTTCTTTATCACTTTTCTCCTCCCCCAAACCGTCTTTATCGCCGACTCGAGTGCTAGCGCTTTTCTTGGAGCCATCAATGCTCTCCTGGCTAGAGCTGAATCTGCCAAGCATCATAGCAACTCCTGAGCCTACATGCCTTTTTGTTTTGTTGTCGTTTTTCGAAGTACTGTCCGACTGGTCAGATGTAGTCCCTGCTACCACATGTTTCGACAGCTTACTGCTACCTACACTTGGTACAAACACAGAACTGACGGTTGTGGCTGAGGGAGCTGACGACAGACCAAGACCACTGCTTGTAGTTCTGCCGTCTGTTGTCTTGGACACATCAGCTGTCTGTACTGCTGCAGACGATTGGTCAGTCTTGGATTTAGACGCCAAAGGCAATAACGTGCTAGACCTAATTCCAGCAATAGTCTCTGGCGTTAGAGTTTCTGCTCGATTACTTCCTATAGAAGATTTGCTTTCATACGACGACAAAGATGGTTTAACGGGCTCGCCCGGCTGACCGACATCTTGGCATTCCAAATGTTTTGATTCCACTTTTACGGTAATCTGTAAAGGGGCTAGTTTGACTTCTGCATGTTGTTTCATTAAATGATCATGAGACGAAAAGTGTGGTTTGGTCTGCGAGACTTGGTCTTCATTGAATAGCTTCCGAATCAGAGTTGGCGATGGTTTAGGAGAGGTCATGACCTTAAATACTTTTTCCTCACTGTCTTTCTTGGTGGCTTTATCACCTTGTATAATTTTGTTGTCCTTTACTGGTCTAAATCTTAATTGTTGTGCCGACGAAGGAGGCGACGAAACGGTATTAGTCATTTTAGCAGCCGTTAGTTTATCTGTGTTCAGCATTTGATTGGTGGAGTTTTGTGCACATGTAGCTGTGTCTGCCTGTGCCGCGCAGTTTGCAGTAATGACATGCTCTTTTCCAACGTTACCAGGTTTCATCATTGGCTTAGACACCAGCTTGTGTGTTTCCGGGACTATGTTGTCCTGGCGGCTCCGTTCAACAGCTCGAGACAACAAATCCGTTGTTTGATTCACTTCATCAACAATCGCTTGGAAGGACTTGGAAATAACATCAAATTCCGACTCTTTCTCAAGATTGTCTGACATTCTGTTCGCGTCTAGATCTCGAATAAATACCGAGGAAATTCTGGTTTGCATGGGTCTTAGATGAACACTCTTCGGCTGCGCTCGACGGACATTCAAACTGGATAAATCCGACTGGGGCTTGTCTTGTTTATGAAGAGTGTTGACACTGTCTGTATTTAGCTCCAAACTTGTGTAAATTCTGTCCAGTTCAGACAGGGCGTCGGAAAGCTTTGATTTCTTTTTCTCATAGTAATCCTCGAAAGTAGCAGTATCGGTTTGTTGTGACTTGATTTCTGGAGTTAATTTTTTCAGTGACAGAAGAATCTGGTCTAGGCTGGTCTCATCCGCTGATTGCAGCTTGTTCTTGATCTCACTAATTCTAAGCTCCACCCCGCGAGCCAGGTTTGTCAGATCATCCATGGATTCGTTGACTTCCTGAAGTCGAGAAGAACCAGCAGACAGTGAGCTGTCTACCGTGTTGCTTTGTTCCATATCTGTATTCAGGTCTGTGTGGTAGGACCAGCCAGTCGCGGAAGTATGTGGACCTACTGAGGTGTCGCAAGTTGCGTGCTTGAACGCTTGCAGCTTTGAAACCCCGTACAGAGTCTCGGGGTCAGGTCTGTAGGTCGTTGAGCTGAATGGGGCCAACGCTTTCTGGATCTCATCTAAGGTTTTAGAACCTGGCTGTTTTTGTGGCTGTTCTAAGAAAATGTTTTTGCTTGTTGTAGAAATGTTAGACTTGTTTAAGTGTTGGGACCATGTCGATGGTTCATCTAAACGTGCATCACCAGTAGGTTTGGAAGCCACACTGCTGTAAGGATGACCCGCAATACTGCGTATGCTGGTGCTTTTGTGTGTTGGTCTCCCCAGTGAAGGACTTTGGTAGTGACTTTGGTCAACAATTTCTTCTGTTTCAGCTTCCGCAAGTCCGGTGTTGAGCAACTTTTGTTTCAATAAATTGACGTCCAGTTGGTAGTTGTTGGTAAAACCTTGAGAAGGTTGCGCCTGTCGATGTTGTGTGTTTGGTTGTCGGGGTAGTTGAGACAACTGCAGAGGTTGTTGTTGTCGTGCTGTGGACACATCTGATCGGTGAAGTCCTCGCAGACCGGACTCCAGCGTCCGAGTTGAACCATCATTACCATATTCAGATTTACCATATTCAGATTTTCCAAATTGGCCTGAATTGGGTCGAGTTTTCAAAAAGCGTGAGATATCCGAAGTAGCTACATTTGTAGTCGAGCTGTCTATTTCTAAAGATCTTTTCTTGGGACTTAGTTGTTTTCTAGGAGACCTATTGATGTCATTGAGAACGTCATCGAGAGCATTAGCAGCATTTAATGACGACCTACTGTTAACATCAATAGTCAGTGGTGCGATGTTTGGCGTGTACAATGATTTTGATTTCTGCAGTTTGTCCACCACTGACGTGACGTTCCTGTGTGGTTGAGCTGGTAGTGTAAAGCTCTGCTGGGGAATCAGCTGGACCTGGTGATGCGATCTGACAGGCTCGGATGTTAGCATCGCTTCCCTGTTGCTGGGGTCAAAGGTGGTCATCTGCTCAATTTCCTTCCAAAATGGATCCTCAGAGAAAGGAATGGTCCTCAGAGTGCGGGCAGTCACACGTTCAATGCTGACAGGAACGCCCTGGGTACTCTCCAGATTTGGGGACCACACTTCGGAATCTCTCAGCTTCGTGTTGTAACTTGGAAGCACTTGTGACCAGTCCGTGGATTCATTCTGTGAAGAATATTCCTTGGAAGGTTTAGACAGTTTAGCGGAGGCCGTGGACACGGATTTCTTGTCATCTTCTGAAGTTGCATTTGTTGAATCTGTATCAAATCGACGTCGGAGATTACCCACAGAATCAGATTTCATACATGAAATTTCATTTAGTTCTTCTCTGTATTTTGACCCTCGCTTTTCTGGATTTCTGACATCGTCTTTGTTTGAAATTCTTCTGACCACTGGCGTATCTTTTTGTGACGAGACCGGTTGTCCGCTATACGACGAATCGCTGTAAGGCGAGGCCTGCTGACCGCTAAACGACGTATCTTTGTAGGGAGAGACCTGCTGTCCGCTCTCACCAGCAAAAGACGGTTTGTACGTGACCGGCACTGGGCCAGCGGTGACCGGGAGAGGATGTACACGACTGGCCAACACTTGCTGTCGGAGTTCGCTGGCGCTGGTGAAGGTTTTCTCAGGTCGCAGAGATAAAGGTGTTGGAAACAGCCGGTTACTCACATCCTGAACCTGAATGTTCATCCGGGCATCGGGAATCACTTGGAAGAACCGGCGAGCGTTTGTCTCTATAGACATCACTCGAGGAACAGTTGCCGGATTCGGCTCATCAGCGTAGGAAGATACGAAACGTGATTGCTTGCTGGGAACGACAGCTTTATGTGTGTCACTGGCTGGGGGCATGAAAGTGTTACTGTTTACGTTCTCGCTAATTGTGACCAGGTCTCTCTTGTCGGACTTCAGCGCAGATTCTCTTACCTTCAGCAAAGTCTCCCATTTCTTAACTCTCTCCGATACCTCAATATCGTACTCTGCATCTGAAAACATGCCTTTGTCGACTTTTGCGGGGAGCAGACCGATCTCTGTATCCGATCGCGGCTTCTTGTCTCCGAACCCTAGTCTTGTATGGACAGTTCCGAAAGTAGGCTGACTGGTGGGTGCAGCTCGACCACCCAGTTGGTCGGAAGTTCTGATAACGCTTTGCCTGCTGTTGTAATCGTTGCGAGTTTGTGACAGGGGAGAGTAGATATCCTGTGGGAAGTTCTTGGGAATCAAGTCTGGCTGGGATGTCAGCTGGTTCCTGAAGCCATAGATGGAGTGACGGTCCCAGTCAGCTGAAGGTGCGATCTGAATCAGTGAAGTCCCCAGACGAGGAGTTTCTGTTGGCAGTGTGACGTGCAAATGAATGCTCGTATTTGCCTGAACTTGAATGGAAGGATGGGTCTGGGGAGGAGTGCTTGACAAAACACGACTGGCTATCTTCCCGTGTTCAGGCAGGCTGGAGAATTTGATCACGTTGTTGGCTGAACTTCTCTTTGGCTGAACTTTCTCAACGTCGCTGCTGAGGTATTGGATATTTGACTCGACCAGTTCATCCAGAGAATCATCGTGTCCTTCCAGCATCCCCGGTCTTGACATAATCTTTCTGGGTAGTTTTTGTGGAGACTTGGAGTCCTTGGCGGTTGTCCATGTCCTGCCGTGTAAGAAAGGGGATGAAACGTCTGGCGTGAAGTCTGGGAAAATTTTTGTGTCTGTGACAGCGGCTTGTGGTCTGGCCAAACCCCCGGGCTGCGAATATTAGATCCAGACCAGCGATGAGGCGGAGCTCTCTGGGGGACATTCTCTTCATCTGAAGTCACCGATAAATTCAGTCTCATCTTTCTCATCTGCTCCAACTTCTGATACTTGCTACTTGCCTTGCTACCGCTCCCTTCATCTTTCGAGCCAGTAGTTTTCACGCTAACATTAGCCACTCGATTCCTATTCTCTCCATTGCCCTGAGAAACAAAACTATCTCTATTTCTTGATGCCAACACACTTTCTGTTCCGCTGAAACGTTTCTCTGCTTGTTTGAGTTTATCTGACCGTTTGACTCTCTTAACCACCAGCGGGTTCTTGGTCCATTTCTTTGGGTCGCTGTCCGAGTCGGAATCAGATCGGATGACGTAAGACGTCTGCGCCAAGCGTCTGCAACTGTCATCTGAATCTGAAGACAACTGTCTCCCCCCACTACCACCTCCGTCATAAGTCTGACGCTTGACTCCCATCTTCTCGTCTGACGACTGGCGAAATATTCCGTTCGACCATTCGCTCCTTAAACGTTGCATTTTACCGGAATCCAACACTTCATCGGAGACACGGATATCACGTCATCGGAGTCACGGATATCACGTCATCGGAGACACGGATATCACGTCATCGGAGACACGGATATCACGTCATCGGAGACACAGATATCATCAATATGTAGGATTAAATAGTGAGACCGAAACTGCTTGTCTCATTTAAACGTGAACAGACAATTCTACCATCCTCCATCATCTGCGCACAGATTTCACAGGGCTTCTGTTGCTTCTAATTAGCACAAAGTGTTAAGTATGCTTGTCAGCTCGCCATATATTTCAATGAACATTTGCTTCACAATCTGCTCGAGTTTAGGGGAGCAGTTTCCTTGATCTGTTGGCAAGGATTTATCTGTGAAAGACATAAATAATAAAAACACGGTCAACCAAATTATACATAAGGGGAAAACATGGGAAACAAATAAACAATGTAAATAAATTATTTAAACAAAGATAAAAACAACTAGACAAAGCTCATACAAGTTCTTTGTAGAAAGTCGCTGACATGACGATTATGACTTTCATAGCGGCACAAGATATGACGTTGATGACTTTCATAGCGGCACAAGATATGACGATTATAACTTTCATATCGGCACAAGATATGACGTTGATGACTTTCATAGCGGCACAAGATATGACGATTATGACTTTCATAGCGGCACAAGATATGACGTTGATGACTTTCATAGCAGCACAAGATATGACGTTGATGACTTTCTTAGCTGCACAAGATATGACGTTGATGACTTTCTTAGCGGCACAAGACATGACGTTGATGACTTCCTTATCGGCACAAGACATGACGTTGATGACTTTCTTAGCGGCACAAGACATGACGTTGATAACTTTTTAGCGGCACAAGACATGACGACGATGACGTCCTACTAGACATAGGGTTGCAAGTTACTCAAAGCTGATGGCTCCGTTACAAGTGCCCCTTTTTTAAAACTTCTTTGGAGGTTGGTCTGCCACCAGCCCTGAGATTCTTCAGTCTCACCATGTCAGACCTTCAGGTTCTGTCGCTCGGTCTGACATCAGCCCTGAGATTATTTAGTCTCACCATGTCATACCTTCAGGTTCTGTCGCTCGGTCTGCCACCAGCCCTGAGATTATTTAGTCTCACCATGTCATACCTTCAGGTTCTGTCGCTCGGTCTGCCACTTCTGATTTTTTTTTTTTTTTTTTGGCAGTCAAATGTTTCAGGTAACAGCCTGGAGGCGTTCAACAGCCCGCACGCACCCACGCACCCAGGCACCCAAGCACCAAGGCACGCACACACCCAGGCACCCTCGTACGCACACAAGCACAACACTTATGTAATCTTATTTAGCTTTGAGACGATAGGGTTTAGACCTAGCAAACCTTTCATTTCTGGAAAAAGGGAGTCATAATTATTCCCCAACTTCTTCGCTATACGTCACGCTGCGCTCACCATCTAGATTCTGTCTGGTCCTGTGCAATCATTTCGATATCATGGATGGAATCAAGGTATATTGGCCTCTCTCAACCTCGTTCGTTTTAGGATTTCTCTTGGACGTCCTTGTTTCATCAATCCATGTTTTTCCCATTTCAGTGACTGTAGACTGAGCCTGTATCAATGGGAAAGTGAAGTGAGGAAAGGGTGTTATTTTCTAGGCAGGACTTTGTGCTGGCAGTAAAGCTGTCGCTACAAGTTGGATCCTGGTCAGATAGGACCGAGCTACCGTATGACAGCAGCTGGTACCACCTGTCTTCTGTAAACATCCTCTTCTTCTTCTTTGTTCACTGGCTGTAAGCTCCGGCGAAAAGTGCTGGTTGTTCGTCCATCTGAACTGTCGCTTTGTGCCAGGGCCTGCTTTTTGCGTGTACATCCGTTTTACTGTGTTATTTATGTGCAGTTGGTTGTTCTTCGCCGCTCGGGCAGGTGCACTCCGACTTCGAAGGAAGTTCCCAGTTAGTCGACTCTTACGACATGCTTGCTGGGAAGGCAGTGGATCTATTCTTGTTTTCCCCACACAGGGATGTTAACATCCAATGTCGGCGGCGTATACCAAACCTGACCACCCACATGCTGCCAACAGCATCTGGCAGAGGTGAATTCGTGGCAACAAAATGCCATAGACCGTGTTGCCAGGAGGGGCAAATCATGAAAGGACTCTTTTTTCTTCTTCGTGTTCACTAGCTGTGAACTCCGGCGGAAAGTTCTGGTGGTTTATCCACTTCTGAACTTTGGTCTTTCCCCAGAACTTGAGTGTTGTGTGCAGTTTTTAAAAAACAACAGATCTGGCTTATTTGTATGCAGACTGTTGGTTTCTTACCTCTTAATTAGATCCACTTCGACACGAAACGAAACCACTAGGCCTAATTGATCGACTCTTACGACATGCTTATTAAGGAGGCAGTGAGTCTATTCTTGTTTTCCCCATAACAGGGACCATGAACCCACGCGGAAAGGAAGGTAATGAGAATGACGGAAGAAATGATGGCAGAAAGGATGAGAATTGAGCGTCTGAAAAAACAAACACTAAATACAAATGACGGCAACAACGGTGCTGAGATCCCTTGCTATAATTGTGGAAGACTTTTCTTAACGGGTTGGGTCTTGCCGGTCACATTCGCCTTTGCCATGGGCTGTGTGTCCCATGCCTCCTCGTAACACACTATAACACTGTCTGCAATGACGGAAAGGTGCCAACAAAGCTGCTGATGATTATGGGGAATCCTGGAAAACCCTCTGACCGTGCTCTGGTAGCTTGTATCAACAGATATCACAGACAGGCTTGTATCAACAGATATCACAGACAGGCTTGTATCAACATATGTCACAGACAGGCTTGTATGAACATATGTCACAGACAGGCTTGTATCAACAGATATCACAGACAAGCTTGTATCAACATATGTCACAGACAGGCTTGTATGAACATATGTCACAGACAGGCTTGTATGAACATATGTCACAGACAGGCTTGTATCAACAGATATCACAGACAGGCTTGTATCAACAGATATCACAGACAAGCTTGTATCAACAGATATCACAGACAGGCTTGTGTCAACAGATATCACAGACAGGCTTGTATTAACAGATATCACAGACAGGCTTGTGTCAACAGATATCACAGACAGGCTTGTGTCAACAGATATCACAGACAGGCTTGTGTCAACAGATATCACAGACAGGCTTGTATTAACAGATATCACAGACAGGCTTGTATTAACAGATATCACAGACAGGCTTGTATCAACAGATATCACAGACAGGCTTGTATCAACAGATATCACAGACAGGCTTGAATCAACAGATATCACAGACAGGCTTGCCAATTACTGCCTTTATTTTACCACTTTTGCGGTGTAGGCGGGAGAAAAGGGGGGGGGGGGTCCTTTGATTTAGGGCCGCATGGCTAGTGCTGTGGCCATGACTGTGCATGAGAGGGTTTTATTGTGCGGTATACACTTCACAACTCTTTCTCCACAGTTCTGCTGTAACGACAGACGCCCGTGTGTATTGCTGCGCAGATGAAAATTCCCGTGGCAGTTGGAAATCGAAAAGAGTAGTCTAACAGCGCTGCTTGGGTACAAATTTGGAGATAAAAATCTACCCAAAGTATTTCAGGATCCTCGCCAGTGCTAGGGAGTTCGTGCACTGCGCTGGGAATCTTCGGACTCAGGCTTGAGTTAGAAGTAGAACGGAGCACTTATGTCATACTACCCTTGTGCCATGATGTTGTTGATCCGTTGTTCAGTTTTCTGTAACGAGGATCCGTTCGAACAAAGAAGGTGTTTTAAACCTTATGTCTGATGACCGTGTGAGTTAATCTCCTTCTGCGACTGAAAGAGCTGACACAATAGGGCCATGTTTGACTGGAACGTTTTCCAACCTGACAACTCCAGCATTGCCATAACGTTTCTTGCTCCTGACAGCCATTTTCAGATGGAATAAAATGCAATAACATTAGTACATTAGCAATTCTTTCCCGAATAGATTAAGCCACATGATCTGAGTCTATTTCTCTGTTCTGTTCTATCATATACATTCCATAGCGCTCTGAGTCAATTCCTCTGTTCTGTTCTATCATATATGTTCCTTGTGTTCGAGTCTATTTCTCTGTTCTGTTCTATCATATACGTTCCTTGTGCTCTGAGTCTATTTCTCTGTTCTGTTCCATCATATACGTTCCTTGTGCTCTGAGTCTATTTCTCTGTTCTGTTCTATCATATACGTCCCATTGCGCTCTGAGTCTGTTTCTCTGTTCTGTTCTATCTTTTACGTCCCATTGTGCTCTGAGTCTGTTCCTCTGTTCTGTTCTATCATATACGTTCCATAGTGTTCTGAGTCTATTTCTCTGTTCTGTTCTGTTCTATTACATACGTTCTAAAGCGCACGCACGCTAAACAGTCTAAAAATTGTCATTTAGAATGTTTAGAGCAGGCAGCAGGCAGCAATGTCAACATTCATCAAGCAGAACATTCTCAGATGAGAAACCGTTGGCTGTAAAAAATATCGCCCACATTCCTGGATAATGACGTCATAGCTGAAACTGGCTGCTGTATTCAAGTGGTTCTCCTTTCTCTAGTGTTCGTGTCTCTTCCTCCCGGCACTCACTGGTTGTACACTCCTTTCTCCAGTGTTCGTGTCTCTTCCTCTCGGCACTCACTGGTTGTACACAAGTGGCACTCCTTTCTCCAGTGTTCGTTTCTGTTCCTCCCGGCACTCACTGGTTGTACACAAGTGGCACTTTTTTCTCTAGTGTTCGTTTCTCTTTCTCTCGGCACTCATTGGTTGTACACAAGTGGCACTCCTTTCTCTAGTATTCGTGTCTCTTCCTCCCGGCACTCACTAGTTGTACACAAGTGGCACTCCTTTCTCTGGTATTCGTGTCTCTTCCTCCCGGCACTCACTGGTTGTACACTCCTTTCTCTAGTGTTCGTGTCTCTTCCTCCCGGCACTCACTGGTTGTACACAAGTGGCTCTCCTTTCTCTAGTGTTCGTGTCTCTT